CTTCATAAGTAAAAATTATAAAAGTTATATATTACGATAGTACTTATTGAGACGAATTAAAAAAGATATCATATGAATATATTTTTCCTACATATCATTCACAATAGATGGTCAAAGGAGAGGTGGTAAATATTGTAAAAGTCAAAACGGGTCAAGTAAAACAGAACGGATGAAGTATTGTTTATTTTATTTTCATAAAGTGAAAGACGGAAATACCCTTTAAGTATAAGTCAAAACAAGACGACAACAAGCAAGTGGAAAGTGTCAGGATTTGGAATCAAACCTTGGAAGTGGAGATATAGGGGTATATTTGTGAAATCACTTTTAAATAAATAAATAAATAAAGATTATAGAAAATTCAAAAGGCATTTTTTTTTAAAAAAAAAAAGGTAGAAAAAGACGAAAAAATTGGTGGGAAAACGAGAAGGGAGGGAAGATGAGAAGGAGGGTGGGCAGCGTGATGACTGATGTGAGTAGTTAATGACTGATGAACGCGATTCCTGAATTTTGCCGGTGGTGGGTCCTACCTTTTCCAAAATCAAACAATTTTCTTAATTTTTGAGATTTTAATTCAATAAAATAATAAATAAATTTCTTCATCATTTTAAAAGAATGATCTAGGATTATTATGAATCTTTGCTTTATCGATTATTTGGATTTTTGGGGTGAACAATTAGGGGGGAATCATCTAGACTTTAGTAAAATTGATAATGTATAAGGAAAATTTTGTACAAAAGCTTGTTATTTGGTTGACAACAAAATGCAAAAAATGAGAGAATTAAAACTACATGAAAATTTTCATTTCTCACAAAACATTAAGGGTAATATTATATGTACACTATTGGAAATTATATAAAATTAAAAATTCATGACAAAAACACGCATAAATCAGTGTAATTAGTGTTTATATTTTGATGATTTCTTAACTTTTTACGATTTTCAAGTGTAAATTTAATGCTTACATGTAGCCCTAAGAGCTATGTCTAACATTTTCTAAACAGTAAAACACGCCCTTGGTAATATTTTATTTTTTTTGGTGTTTAGAGAGCCACAAGGACGAGAGTGAGAATTGATCTCAGGATCTTCTGAAGTCGGGAAGGAAGCTCTAACCACTTGAGCTATCCCTCACTCTCCTTTCTCAAAAATTGTAAATCCTTAATACCAACCAAACAAGAAATGAAAAATTATACTTCATGAAATTTACTATCTCCCTATTTTTATAAGTGTTATGCTTTAAATATATTCACTATTCACATAATGATTTTTGACTTGACTCATTAACTAATTCTAAAAAATCAAATGTTGTCGTATGCTCTATTTTTATTTTTTTATAATTTTTTTTGGATTCTTCATAATGTATACTTCTATAATATTAATTTCATTATAAATTTTACTAACATATAATTGGAAAAACAATAGTCAAAGTTGTGTCTTAACAGTCAACATATGTTTGCTACTTTAAGACCTTGTTTAAATCAACTTATTTTTACTTATTTCAGAAATAAATAAATAAATAAATTTAGTTAAGAAGTAGAGGATTTTCTGGTTCCCTTTAGGGTTTCTATTTTGGGAGGGTTTTTTTAGTCTTAATTGCTAGAATTTTTCTACTTTTTAAAGGCTTTTAATTTTTTCACTCTTCTCATTTTTTCTATTTCTCTTTCATCTCTTTTCTCCAGGTGTCTTTTGTGAATATTTGTAGGGGCTTTAATCGGTGTTTCTACCGGTGGTAAGCCTCAAAAAACTTAAAAAACTTTTTAATTGCTTTCAATAAATGAATCCCATCTTTGAGATGATGGTTATTCTATTAGGGTTAATTTCATTTTTAATTTGTCTATCGAAGTTTGAAGATTTAGGGTTTCGTAATCTCCGAAAGTATCTAGAAGACCATATGAGTATTTTTCACTCAAACAACTATTCATCAATGAATCTCAAGCCGAATAGTACTAACTTACATATTGCATTGTTTCGGATGAATTTTTTTTATTAAAACGATCATTGATCGAATATGCGATGTATATAGTTCTAAGGTGATTTGTACTTGTGTTGGGATTCTAATTTTCCTAGGAATTACTTGTAAGTGTCGTTTGGCTATATGTAATATGACATTAATGAAATAATTTTTCTTCCTGTAAAAAAAAGTTAGATCAGAAAAAATAAGATCATATCATCGCTTTATGTGTAGCTTTTTATTGTTAAATATCTTTATTTTCATAATGAAATAAATTATAATTATTACATATTCATAAAATGCACATTATTACGAATCTAACAAGACCCTGCTTGATATTTTTTTTGTCCTTATAGATTAGCATACACTTACAATGTGTTTGGATTAAAAGAAATAGAGGGAAAGGAAGGGAAGGGAAATAGAGAGATTGAATATCTTTCTTATGGATAACAAATGAGAAAGGAAGAAAATTTAGGGAAGAAAAATGGAGAGATTAGATCGTAGTAAATTGATCCTTCGAACAATTGAGAGATTTGGAATGAAAACTCATCACAATTCTCTCTCCCTTCTCTTCTCATCCCTCCCCTTTTTTTCATCCCCTCCTTTACCCAAACACATTATTAAGGCCAAAGTTTGGTTAAATGTGACAATCAAACCAGATCAGATAAGCAAAAATAAGGTGAAATAAACAAGACCTAGTGTAACACTTAAAAACACACAAAAGAAATATGACAAATTTTTGGTGCAGCAGGTCATACCATATGGCAAAGGTTACCCAAGTTTTTTTTTTTTTTTTTTTTGTAATAGGTTATCTGAGTTTTTCAGTCAAGGGTTACTTGAGTTTTTCAATCAGGGGTTACTTGAATTACTTGGCTAGGGGGTTACTTGAGGGGTTCGGGCAGGGGTTACTCAAAGCGAGGGGTCAACTCGGTTAAGGGTCACTCAGTTAAGGGTTACTTGATTTTCTTAGTCAAGGGTTACTCAAGTTTCTCGGGCAGGCCGCATTCCAAAAATTGTGACTCGAGTAACCCATGTCTGGGAAACTCGAGTAACCTCGAAAACTCGAGTAACCCCTGATCGAAAAACTTGAGTAACCTCTGACCGAAAAATTCGAGTAACTCCTGACCAAGAAACTCGAGTAACCCCTGACCAAGAAACTCGAGTAACCCCGAAAACTCAAGTAATCCCTGACCGAGAAACTCAAGTAACCCCTGCTGGACGGTAGAATAGGTTGCATATAAAAATTTGTGAAAGGAATATGTAGAAATGAATAGATAAACAAATTTGTTTAGCAAAGAGATAAACTTGGCTTTTCTCATTGAAATTATCAAGAAAACATTAGTTTTGTTTGTTTTATTATTATTTTTTTAAACACTACTCATATGATTATAGTTCTTAATCAATAAATTTCAAGAACTTTAAGTTTTTTGTTACTCATGAAAGGCCCCATGTGGGAAAATGTTTTCAAAATGGAAACAATATAAAAGACTTAAAAAAAGTAAATATGCAAACCGATCGAGATCACTCTCCTTGCTACATTTCAAGAAAAAAAAAAAATATAAGTATAACTATTTTCCGTATACAACATTTTTTTTACAGGATATACACAACTTTTTAACTTAACGATAACATACCTAAACTAATTCGTATTTATTAGGGCTGGTAAAAACTGACCCGACCCGAACCCGATCTGAAAAAAGCGGGTTAGGGTTGAGGTTTCCGACCCGAAAACTTAAATGGGTCGACACGAACCCGAACCCGAAATTAAATGGGTTAGGTTAAGGTTGAAAATCTCAACCCGAAAACGACCCACTTAACCCGAAATAAATTTCAGGTCAAAATCAGGTCGGGTCAACCCGAACCCGACCTGATAACCCGAACTAATTTAAGTAAGAAAAAGAAAAAAAACGTAAAAAGCTTATTAAGCCCAGCCCAAATTCACAAAGAGGCTTCCATACATAAATTCAATACCCTAAATGAACTCATTTCCCCTCAATGATCTTCAGCCGTTTTTCCCCTCACTTCTCTCTCTTTAATTTTCTCTCTCCTCAAATACTCATTGTTGAATTCGACAGAGGTAGTTCCGTTAAGCCCAACTTTACCATTGTCATTTCCTTGACGACTTGAATCCTTCACTCCTCCACGAATTCCTCTCCTTCATCAAAGCTATCTTGCTTCTTAATTTATTTTCTGTTTTTTTTTTTCGTGTTTTTTATATGCTAGTTTTGTTTATTTTCTAATTCTTCTGTTGTTAATTTTATATTTACTTGCTTCCGTTTATTTTAGTTTTTTACATGCTAATTTTCGAGTGTTATTACTAAATTCTGATGTTAAATGTTGTTGATTATGTTATTATACGGTTGTTTTTGCTAATTTTTTATTGTTAATGCTAATTTTTATTGTTAAATGTTGTCTATGTTATGGTAATTCTTGCTAATATTTGTTGTTTACTTTTGTTTATCATGAGCATGCATGTTTTAATTTAGATCTTACTAGTTAGATCTAGATAATATAGTCTGATTTAGAATTGCATGTTTTAATTATGTTAGTGTTGTTTTTCTTTATAGGTTTGGCAGCAAGAAGTAGCCCACCCATGTTCAATTGGAAATGTTGTGGATCAATTTTGAAGCTTGAGGTGGTGAACAAGGATGACAACCATGACAAATTGACAGTCCCAACATCGCCCGATCTTAATCCAAATGAAAATCTTATTGCATCTTCTATTATTTTTTGAAAACTGTAATTTGTGTTATTAAAACTTTATCTTTGGTTTGTAATTAGTGAATTACAATTTTTATTGGTTTATTATCGTTAAGTAGGATTGTTACTTTGTTAGACTAAGCTATTTAATTTTGGTTTGAATTAAAATGCTTAACCTGAACAACTTGTATTTGAAATGAAAAAAAAAGTTATTCAGGTCAATTTTAGGTTAACCCAAACCTGAATATATCAGGTTTGGGTCGGGTTAATTTCAGGTCAAAGAAACCTGATTTTAACCCAAATTAAAAATCAGGTCAAATAAGGTCAATTTCGGGTTGACCCGAACCTGAAAATATCAGGTTCAGGTTAGGGTTTTCAACCCGAAAAATTAAATGGATTAGGTTCGGGTTGGGGGTAGCTGACCCGAAATTTAGGTGACCCGAACATGAACCCGACCTGATCCATTTGCCAGCCCTAGTATTTATTATACGAAGTATTTTTAATAAAAAAAAATCTCTAAAGAAAAAGTTTACCGAGTCATCTACATAATTCATGAAATTCACATTTGATCTATACCAACTATTCTACTCATTTATCATCATGTAGTTTGTGTACCAACTAAAAAAATATATTTTTTTTGTTAGTGTATTTTATTTTGTATGCTAAATTCAAAAGAAAGAATTGAGTTTGCGTAAAACCAGTAGCATTACCCAACACACAACGGCAACACAAGCAGGAGCACCTGCACCACCTCCCACCCCTTTTCTTTCTTCCACACTCTCAATTATTCTCATTTTCTCTCTCCTCACCTTAAAATTCCCACAAATTCATTTACCCCCCTTTTTTTTCCCTTTTTCTTTTTTCCATATTTTGTTGTCCCCCCATTTTTTCTTTCATTTTTCTGGGTGCATAATTTATGAGTTCTCCTATCTTATTTATGGCATTTCACGCTTCTTCTTGATCAATTTTCTCTCTCCTTTATCTTTCTGTAAATAAATTTATACCCATTTTTCCAGGTTTGTGATGTTTCTAGCTCATTTTAACTTGTTGTATTCTTCGTTGATTTAATTTTTCTGGGTAAAGATTTGATTTTTATGGGATGAAGCTCATTTTTTTAATTTTTTATTTGATGGGGTGTGCCCTAATTTTGTTGATATGTTTTGAATTGGCAGGATCTGTTCTTGGGTTTTCTGCTGAAAGTTGAATTCAAAGGAGATTAATTATTAAAGGTAATCAATTTAATTTATTGTTATTTAAAAAAAAAAACTAATTTCTTCTTATCCCTGCTTTTGATGAGTTTGTTTATCTATGTTTGTGATTATATTTTAAGGGAATCTAGGGATTTTATTTTAATTTTTTTTGGTTGATTTGGGATGGTAAATGTTCATGTTTAGTGTTGACTAACAAAAGCTGGGATTTTTTTAGGGTTCATCTAATTATATATGTTTGGGTCCAATTTAGTCAAAATTGGGCCTAAGCACTAAATGATCCAATTAAAAGCCCAAGGTCAAGGTTCAACTCTCCAATTGCACAAAAGTCAAAGGTCAGCCCACAAAGCATTCCAATTGGGCTAAGGCCCAACCTCACCATATATGATGAGGTATAAAAGCCATCATATTGACACATTCATAGAGACACGTTGATATTCATATTCCAATTCATATGCTCACTCTTGCATTCAGAAATATTCCACAAAAGCCTCAAGCTACAAACTCTCTTGCATAGTGTCTTCCTTTTACACATTGTACTGACTTTAGCATCGGAGGGGCCTTCCTCGGAAACACCCCCGAGGCTAGTTTACGTGTGTTTACTGTGCAGGAAACCTTCGGCCCAACACAACTTGGACCGAATCCAGTCTTCTCCATTTCAGCGGACCTTCGGCAAGGTCCCATTGTTTTCACCCGAAACAATATATATATATTTTTTTGAAAGTTCATCTAATTACCTTATCTATCTTGATTTTAGCTGTTTCTTCATTTTAGGATATATTTGAAGCGATGAGTATCTGCATACACGTGTGTTGATTCTTGTCACAAGTTGAATTAATGATAGATTTTCTCCCCTTTTAAGCTGATGTTGTGTATATCTTCATATCTTGCGTTATATGTGGTCAATCCTGTATATGTGAAAATTATAAGGATATGGATGAAAGGGATAATGGATGAGTTTTGTAGGAGGAACTAGATGTAGAGAGCGAAAGACCATCTTGATGTTGGTTGATATGTAATCAATTTGGGTGGTTTTGCTTGTGTTTATAGATCGAGTGATCATAGCCGTGACTTAGTTGCTGTGTTAAGCAACACTTTGACATCTTAGTGATAGGAAGTTCATATAGTTGGCCACCAATTTGATATCAAGGCATTAGCAGCTTCCCCTGGACCCTGGCGATCCTTTGTTTTGTTTGTTCCCCCCTGCTTTTATCTTGGGTTGGATAGAGGAGGTTCAGGGTTCAACCATTTTCTGCCAGGTGGTGCCTCCCTCTCTTTGGTGCGCAGGATTATGGACTAACTTTGTGTCTTAAGTGAAGATATGATTTGCTGAAGCTGTAAATTTGTTTGCACGAAAGGTTGAAGGATCCATGCATACATGCTAGGAATCCACATCTTGTCATGTGTCATTTAAGCATCTTTACCGGATTTCAATCTGTGTGAGTATCTTTCGGGTTTGTGACTCCCTAGGATTTTCTTTCATGTGACTGACTGCTTAACCACTTCAATTACTGTTTACACATATACAAGTATGATTTTTCATGTCATGTTTGTTCATATGGTCTAGAGATGCTGACAAAATTAATTAATGGAAGTATTAGCATATGGCACTTGTTTCTAGTAATACTACTGCCTGACCCTTGTATGCATTGCATGCTAACTTGAATCAATCCGCAAAACCTTGTCATTCCTTTACTCATACTTCATATTTGATCTATCTCATGATAGGATTTTTAATGATACCCTCTTATTTGGCTAAGGCTTGGTATTGCTTTTTGATTACCTATCTTGCTTGACTCAACCCACAAATCCTCCCTCTAGCTAGTGATGTGTTGGAAGGATGTTTGAAATTACTTATAATAGCAATCTTGAATTCATACTAACATATGCATTTTTGTATAAAATTATTCAGGAGTTGCTTGTCTGTGAAAACATTTGGGAAGGAAGAAGCCTGTAAAATTAAGCTGAAATTGCACAATAATTAATCAAAATGTACGGAGGTAACAACAGCAATCATGCGCTTCCCATGTTTCTGGATGATAATCGTTTTCCGCTGAATACTAGTACACCAAACCACCAACTTCAGCTCTTTGGGAATTGTAAGTACTGATATTATTTTCCCAAGCCCCTCACTCCTGCATTCATCACATTTACTTTACTCTGAGCTGTTCCATTAGGTGTTCTTTGCCATTTGCCGTGGGTTGAATATATTTAAGGATTAGATTTCTGACTGCTTTTAAAGATTTGGAGAAGGAAAGGGTTAGTTGGGTATCGCCGTATCGGAAATAAAGTAGTGGAAAGTTGACGTGATCGACTTCTCCAGCCTCAAGTTTTAGTATTTGGAGTTTGGTTTGCATGAGTGGATAATGACTCAAATCCTTTTTACACTTAAGGTCCTTCAGAATGACAGAAACTGGAAGGCTATCATAGTATTTTTTTTTTTGTTGTTTGCTTTTGTATCTTCATTTCATTTATCATCTCAACTCTAGTTGCATTAAATGGGATTGTCTAAGAAGCATGACGGTTTGGTTATGTTAAATGGTATGATATGTTCTAAGGTTTAACTCTTTTAGTGTATGTGTCCAAGTTATCTTTAAGTTCTTGAGATAATGCTACAAACTTAAGAGAAAGAAAGAAGTGGACAAAGTCTTAACCAGTGTTGGGAATGTACTGTCTGAACACGTGTACTAGTACGCTAGAAACACACTTTTTTGGGTTACATTTAACATATATAAGTAGCATATTGCGATCTTGTACTCGTTATGTTTGTTGAATTTTCACCCTTGTTGGGTCAGCTCAACCAATTTCAAAAATAATTAAGACAATAACTGGGTCAGTTCAACCAATTTTTACACTTGTTGAATTCCTTGAAAATTCTGTTAAGATGATAAGAGAGGAAAAAAAAAACCATGTTCAGTTAGCTAGTTGGAGGTTTGGGCTTATCGTGGTGTTATGCTTGTGCATTCTTTGGTATATGCATGTGGCATAGCTAGAAGTTTGACTACAAAAATCCACCCCTCTGCTTGCTGTAAACTTATCAATTCTTCAGCTTACATTTCTTGTTCACTATCTTTACTCTTCATCAGCTATCAAACTTTCCTCTCTTCCATCTGTCCCCTCAGTAGCAACCACAATATTTTCCGTCCCTCGTCATGGATGAGTATATCTTGTTTTTAGTGGTCGAAGTTGACCTTGGATGTTCATAAACATGCAATTTAGCTCAGCTTGTTCAAAAACAGCAGATTCGTCTCTGTCCAGCCTAACAGCCGATGATATGATTCCCATAAGTTTCAGAATTAGGCTATGTCAACCTATTTGTCAATAACTCTGAACACCTAAACAGGTAATTAGGGCAAAGCTTTTAACGTCACTGAAGTTTAACCTGAAGAAAACAAGAAAAGTAGTTTGCTTTATTTACTTTTTATTTATGCTTGATGTTGCCTATTGGATGTCTTGGAAGTTGGAACTTTGTTAAGTAACCGAAAACAAGAAGAGTTCGGTTACACTTTCTAACTGCAATTGACGAAGGCAGCATATGAAAATGAGATATTATCAATGATGGACCGAGAGGGGGCAAAATTGATACACCTTATTGTATGTTACATTTGCTCACAAGTCATCATGATAAATAGCTTCTAAAATATTTGTTCTGAAGGTTCACATTATGGGGTTTAGTTACTTGGTCTGCTGCCTAACTTTTGGTCTAGGCTACCTTGCTCTTGCATGAAAGAGTGCTTATGGAATTTGGGCTGTACAGATTGCTGTATCTTCTTAAATATATTTTTATCTATATTTTCTCTTTGTGGTTCACAAATCCAACATACTGACAATTTCATTGTTGTTAATAATTCACCTGATCGGATTGAGTAGCATACATATTGATTATCTTTATGCTGAGCTCAACTTATTTGTCTTCTCAATTGAATTCCTGACAGTACCCGTCGGATGTACAGTTGACCCAGTAAATTATTTTGGGAATGACCACAATTCTTCTATTCTCCGGCCAAACAAACGAGTTAGAGAGGCTGATGATCTTGCAAGGCAACAGAAGCTCCAGATCTCATTGAATTATAACCTCTGCCAGGATGAAGTTGACCGTTCAGCTAGCATCCCAAACCATAATCCGGTATCAACTGGGCTAAGGCTTTCATATGATGATGATGGGCCCCAACTCATCTGTCACTTCTGCTAGCGGAAGTATGACAGCAACATCCTCCGTCCTCATGTCACTTGGTGACAATATAAGGAGTGAGCTTGAACGGCAAAAGGAAGAGTTTGATCAGTACATCAAAATTCAGGTATACTCATCCATCTACATCAAATTTTTAAATTCATGTTTGGCATAGCAATGACTACCATGCCGGTATCTGATTCTTTTCCCTTTATGTTGAACATTATTAAATTGTTTTTTTTTAGTTTAATTCAGTGGGCTTTTAATTTCCTTTCAAGGGAAGTTTTATTTTTGCTTTTGCTCACCAACTACAGTCATAGATTTATATATATTCCCATTAGCATACGAATACAGAATTGCTAAACATTTACCATTTTGACATTTGAGCAGCAAGAGCAATTAGCAAAGGGTGTTAGAGACATGAAGCAAAGACACATGGCCTCATTTCTAAACACTGTAGAGGATGGCATAAGCAAGAAGCTTCGAGAAAAGGAGACGGAGTTGGAAACTATAAACCGTAAGAACAGAGAACTTATGGAGCGAATAAAACAGGTGGCAACAGATGCACATAATTGGCATTACCGAGCTAAGTACAATGAGTCTATGGTTAATATCCTCAAAAACAATCTTCAGAATGCAATTTCTCAAGGCGCTGACCAAGGGAAGGAAGGGTTTGGAGACAGTGAGGTTGATGACGCAACTTCTTACATTGACCCGACTAATTACCTCACGGTGGCAGGAGGACGGGGAAAATCCATTGCAGGACCCAGTACCGAGCATTTGGCCTGCAGAGCTTGCCGAACCCGAGAAGTGTCTATGTTATTGATGCCATGTAGGCACCTGTGTGTGTGCAAGGAATGTGATGGATTCATTAGTGTCTGCCCAGTCTGCAATATCCCTAAAAGTGCTAGTGTGGAGGTATACTTGTCTTGACATCAGCTGTCCAATGATATCATGTATTTTTCCTTGTATGTCTTACCGAGATGTATACTTACCCGAAATACCAATTGCTGATGAAAATGAGACTGTCACTCGGTCATCTGCATTTGTTATGAAGAGTGTTTGATAAATGAAATTCAAACCTAAAAATGTGCACATATGAAACTGCTCGTTTTTAACCCAATGAAAAGGCCTTTCACAAGCATTTGCGTGTGTATGTACTTTATCGTTTAGGGTGTTTCAGCTGCAACTATCAAGTATATTGTTGGCTGTGTTACTAGGTTCCCAGCTGCAACTGTCAAGTATATATCTTGGTGTGAACTGTCAAATGTACTAATGGTAGCCATATTATGGATTAACTTCTATGTTTTCCAAACACTCCTTTAACTCAGAAATGTAAGAATTTTTTGTTGAGGATATGACATAATTTTACTACAATACTCTATATTATTAAGCAAGCCTCAATTTATCTGCATGATAAACATATATCGGAATTATGTTTATCTTGTGTTGTTTTTGTACGGAGTAGATAAATTAATAAAATATCTTTTAGATAAACATTTTTTCATTATTAGGAAGTTAAACTTGTATTTTCTCCTTGAATTATTGGAGTAACATTCTTTTCAAAGGCATGAAAAGTTAAAACAGGACATGATTAAAAAGGCTTAAACTTGTATTTCCTTGATTTGCTTAATCTCAAGGGAAGTAGCTAATTTAATCCATAATGCTTTTTTCTCTTCACTAGATGACAGTATAGCCATGTTCTGCAAACAATGTCTGTTTTTGCTGTATCCATAATCTTTGTGGTTGAAGCCTTGAAGGGTGTGTTCTGAAGTCATATATCTTGCTCTTTATATCAGCCGATACTACCACAGTATAGTATGTTTTCGGTTGAGATAATATCCTCCACAGGTTTCGAGCTTAGCCAATGAAGAAACTAGATTAACACGGACGAAATTTTCTAGTTAACATTGCCATGGAGCCATATGTCGCATGCAGATGCCAATAACCCTGCAGATGGCAGATCCATGGAGTAATAGGAGAGGTAAGCATTCAATCATTTCAGTTTGCAATGTTTGTGAGCATTTTCTTCTGATTTTGTAGGTCATGTTACTCTGATTCATTCTCAACTGTCTAGCATAGATAGATTTCCAATCTTTTTCAAGCTAGATTTTCGTTAAATAGCTACAAACGCCAGTGACAAGTTTCAAATAAACACATAACATGCATATTACAAGTTTACAACCAAGGTTCAAAGTAATAGCAGCAAATCACAATAAAAGCTAAGCATTAAGATGCTCAAAAGTCAAAACATTCAACAAAACAAGCCATTAAATCCAAAAACAACAGTCTTCAAAGAAAAAAAAAAGCAAAACATGAAAGCACCAGAAAGATAGGGAGACTAGTAAACTGCTGCTTGAAGACGAGTGAGAAAATCTTCTTCGCTTGGTGAAACTTAAATGGTAGTGACCTTATATGCTAAAATTGTTCAATAATTAGAGAAGTAGCTGTTAATTCAATCCAAAATACTTCCTATCAGCAGGTGTATCAAACACAAAATTCGCAATTTCACAAAAATTTTCCTTTAATGTCTCTGGTATAAGTCTCTGGGGGCAAAGGGTAAGTTCTGAAGTCATAAACTTTCTTAGATTGCGCTTGAGAAACGGCCAGAGTTGCCACAGTAAAAGCTCCAGTCTCCTCCTCAATTGACTCCGTATTCTTCACACTGATAAACCATTCTCGGTTGAGGTAATCCTCCACTTGTTTCAGTATAGCCATTGTCTGGTTATCTCTGCAGCATATATGATCAACACACAGACGAAGTTTCCTACTCACTGCATCAGTACTGAAGTCATTCCAAAAATCATTATGGAACACAAATCCCAGCTTAACCTCTAAACATCGTAACCCTTTCGACCATGCAAGTTGAAGGCCTTCTAGGAAAGCAATGTAGAATGAAACTGAATGGTCACTTGGGTCGACGTTGTTAAGGAGGCGCATAGAGATGCCAATGACCCAATTTCCGTCACTGTCACAAATTAGTCCACCAGAAAATCCACGAATTGGCGCGTTAGGTCCATCAGGAAATAAATTGGATGCACTTACAGTAAGATTGTGGTAATCCTGCAGCACAAATTATCAGAACAAATTTATCACTTCAACTTTGTAGGTACAACAGCACAATAGTTAACATACTGAAACTCTGTATGCAGTGTTTTACAATAGTTAGATGCAGGACGATTATTGTAAGACATAAAACAATGAAATTCTACACTGCCTCCGTTAATTTTTTTAGTTTTGCAACAAAGGGGATTATTTATGAAACAAACAAAAAAAAGTCTCTTTGTTACAACTAAAAATTAGCGGGTGCTTCAAAAAAAAAAAAAAATTAGCGGAGGTAGTAGTAAGACATAAAACAATGAAATTCTACACTGCCTCCGCTAATTTTTAGTTGTAACAAAGAGATTATTTAAGATGAAATTCAAAGGAATATAAGAAATAAATAATTTCCTTCCAATTCAATAATTTAACTAATTTTGGAATTAAAATTTAAAATTAGCCGTTTTGGTAAATATTTTTGTAAAACTAGCCATTTTGGTAAAAGATCTTGACAAATAAGCTAAGTGACATGTAAAAAAGATTTAGATGTACAATTTTGTGCAAGCAACTAATTCAAATATATGTTATTAGCTAATTATTATGCATTTTGCATACCATTCTAGTACATCCAGGGAGTTTCTTCCTGTATTTTCTCTCTAATTTCCACTTATCATCCTTATCAGTCGCGTCGCAGTGCCTCTTAGGATTCTTCTTCCACATTTTGCAAGGTGCAATCTCTTCACACACGTAACAGTAACACTGCATTGTGGTAACAAAGTTACTAACAAAAAAAAAAAAAAAACCAGCTTTAAGAAATAAATATTCTCTCCATCCTGAATTAATAGTCACGTTGATATTGTAATTTAACTAGTAGCGTGACAAACATTACATACTATATGTTGTACGTACGTAAGTACTTAATTACCTTACTGCAATGTCTCTTAGGAGACGATTTTTCCAAAAGGGTATTTGAAGCAAAGATGCCTTGGATGAGGGAAATCATCCTCGGGTTCGAGGCGTAATGAAAGACTAAAAGCCTTGGTGAAGATGAGCATTTGCCCTTGATCATTCACATTTTCAACAACACTTTTATTTATAAGGTTTCCTTTGGGATTCATTGTGACTATCTATAGTAAGGCGTATGTTGTAAATTTGTGATGTGTAAATGTGTAATATATACAAGTAGTTGAGTAAGCTAAGGTTGAGGAAGATGAAAAGATTATAGTTCAAAAAGTGGGTAGCATGCTTAATTAGTACTTGGGGAGTTACGTTGATGTTAGTTTTTAAGGAAGTGAACCTTTTCTCTTCTCAATGATCGTGGGAAATGATCGACAACAGAAACATTGGATAAGGATTAAGGACGCATACTTACTTACTTAAGACTTTAAATAACTACACGGTAATAAATGAGGACAAATTTAGAATGACTACAATAATATTGTACGGAGTACCTATGTAATCTTTCAATCTTAACCTTTAAAATTTGGTACTCATATTAAATCTTAACCATTGACTAGTAATTTTTATTTTTTATAAACATAAACAATTTTTTGTTGTTGTTGTTGAGATTTAGGGCATGTTCTCTTCCGTTGAAATTCAGTTCAGTTCAGCTCTTAATTTATGTCTAATGATATTGCTAATGATATAAAGCCAAATTTCATTCTTTTAAGCTTTTATTACAACGACGACGACGACAACAACAACGACAACAACAATAATAATAATCAATAAGTAATAAATAATAATAATAATAATAATAATAATAATAATAATAAACATCATCAATAAATAACAATAATAACAACAACAATAATAATAATAATAATAATAATAATAATTTGGGGTTAGATACATGTATTAATTAAAACATTAAAGAGAGTGGGTTAGGGTGTTGGACTGTTGGGTCGTTGCCTCTGTTAGCTTTTCGTATTTTTTTTACTTTTTTTTTTAAAATATCTTTTTTTAAATTTGTTTAAATGGATTAGATACATGTAAGTGTTTTGTGTTCTTTTGTCATAATACTATTTTATTTTTAAATTAAATATTATATGTGTTTAAAATGTTTAGAGGTTTCAAGTTTTTAATATATTTTCCATAAATTTTATAATTATATAGTATATTTTCGTAAATATTTTAATATGTACATTTGTATATACACATATGTATAGTAATAAATAATCAAAGATCACTAATCCGTAGTTAAAAATCACTAATTAATAAGTTCAGTTCAGCTCAGCTCAGTTCAGCTCAGTTTAGTTTAGTTTAGTTCAGTTCAGTTCAGCTGAGTTCAGTCAATTAGAACAGACCCTTAGTGATAATAATTCATCGATTGCTTTTATGAAATAGCCGAGTATTTTCACCATTCCTTCTTTCATTGATACGTTTTGAATCCGAAATTCGATTTCAGTATGATGAATTTCTTATAAAATCGGTGTAGGTGATATTTTGTGTTGCGGGAAATTTGTCAACAAATTTTATCTTAATCAAAAACATTAAACTGATATATCTATTCAGAATTCCATAATTATTTCCACACCAAAGTTAATATATTTATTCAACATCATCAAATCAAAATTAAAAATTGAAGGATATTTTAAAGTTAATCCAAATAAATTGCCTAATGTCCTTGTCAAAAATTGCCTAACGTCAAAATAAAACATGAGATACAAAATAAATTGCCTAATTTTTATTCCTTAAAACATGAGATACTCCCTCCGTCCCTAAATTACATTCCTGTTTGAAAATTTACATGGGAATTAAGGAGGAAAGAATAAGACAAATAACAATAATTAGATAATGCAATGGGAAGTACAAAATATTAAATAATGTTTTTGAGTAAAACAAAGATAAATTAGTGATTACTCATGATATGTCATCAATCCTTTGCAAAAAAAAAAAAAAGGGACCAATCACATGCTCCTAATTGAAAAATTTTAACCAATCATATTCATTGTAATTTGGCACAAGGATTCTGAAAAATTAAAGGTTGAAAAAGTACATTAGTCAACCAAACATTAAAAGTGGAATGTAAATACATTAATTATACATTAAAAGTACAACTGAAAAAGAAAGTGTATTTGGGATATTTAGAAAAAAAAAATTACTAAAAATAGAAAGGTGGGAGTACAAATTAAAACTCCAAGGTTTGCTAGGAAGCTTCGTTCATGATAAGTATACGTTTCCTATCATATCTTTTTATATTTTTGGGAGATAAGATAAAGGATCCTATCAGATCGAAACCCGATTTTCTATATATCCTATATCACCTAGGACCAGTGGCGGAGCTATGAAGGGGCTTGGGTGGCGGCCCCGCCATTATTTTATTTTTAAAAAATTTTATTAAGTAAAAGATGTAAATTTTTAGGTTAAGTATAATTTTAATGCAATAAATAAAATCAAATTAGCTTTGTCATAGTTGTAGTGCATTGAATTTGAGTTAAAAGTCTTGGGTTCAAGTCATTATACAAGCATTTTATTTTTATTTTTTATTTAGTGCCCCTCCACCTCAAATATTCTACATCCGCCACTGCAAGGACTCTTCCCTATATATGTATACTCCCTCACGGGTTTCCTATTCTACGTAACCTAGGTTTCTCTTTTCTCTATATATATCTCTGTTTCATGTATGATTGAGTAGTTTACCCAGGAGAAAGAGAAAGAGATCGAAGGTTATTCCTCCGGTATATATTGATTGATTAATATCAATAGCAATAATTAATTTGAATAATATGGCGGGATCAAATTCAGAGTTATACGATATTGAGTTGACCATAAAGTATTGCAAATCCCTAAAAGTGTCACGAATATTGAGCCTTGGGAAACCGGTCAAAACCTATGCTGCAGTGTGGATTGACCCGAACCTGAAGCTGTATAAAGACATTGACGAGAAAGCTTGTATTGACCCAAGCATGAAGATGTATACAAGTATTGACGAGCAAGGCGGGTCAAACCCAAGTTGGAATCACACCTTTAGCATGAGGGTGAACAAGAAGCACTTTAACCAGAAGTCGTGTATCGTCAACGTTGACATATATCAAGTTGCGGTCGGGTTGATGAAGAAAGATAGGCTAATCGACAAGACTTGGTTGTATATGCATTTACCCGATAATAATGCTACTGAAATCAAGACCCGTAATTTGTACAACCTCTTCGGTCGATTAACCGACCCATTTAGTGGATAAAAAAGGACTGGATTTGTCTACGCCACCTCCTCAATTACGCACTTTCCACGCTGCCCACCATAGAAACCTAAGAATGTCACTACAATTTCGACAAATTTATTTCTTGTTTGGAATTGGTTATCATTATCTTATCAGTTACGCTTCGAATAATCATTGTCTTTTTTTTTTTTGGGAAATTATCAATGATACCCTCGTAGTTTTGACTTTTATCAATGATACCTTTCATTAAACTTTCATTATCAGCGGTACCCTATAATTTTACCTTAATTGCTGCAGTAATCATGACTTTCAACAAACGTTAAGTTTGATCATTTAATAGGTTTAATGGGCTGACTTGGAGTGACAAAAATGCCTCCCACTCATTAATACCCCCCAAGCCCAACCAACACCATTTAATACTTCAAATTTGATCGTTCATCTTCTTTGAAATTGCTCCCTTGTTCTTCTTCCAAGTAACCCTAACTAACGCTAGAGTGAAGCAAGATCCTTGAAGATTTAGCGGTTCTTTGCAATTCTAAAGGTTAGTGCTTACTTCTCTAGTGAATTTTGAGAATTTTGTTAAAATTGTTAGGTTTAAGGTATTGTACGCACCTTTGTGGAATTTGTTTGATTTTGTGTACAATTTACAAGTGTTGTTGGATTTAGCTCTGAATTATGCTCAATTTACATATGATCATGTTAGCTTGCTAAATTTTTAATCTTTTCTGATATTAAAATAGAAATAAAAATTTAGAAAGGGATGAATGAAAACAAAAAGAGGGGTGAAGGTTATATAGGAAAGAAGGAAATAAAGAAATAAAAGGAGGGAAAACTTTTGGGATTTTTGGAGGGAGATTAAATGATAGGGTCATTTATGTATTTTCACATTTCCCGTCCCATTAAACCTGTCAAATGACCAAACTTAACTTTTGTTTAACGTCATGATTACTGTAGCAATTAAGGGTACCGCTGATAATGAAAGTTTAATGAAGGGTATCATTGATAAAAGTCAAAATGACGAGGGTATCATTGATAATTTCTCTTTTTTTTTTACTCTTACGAGTATTATTATTTTAGGCATTTAATTAATTAGCCTTTTGTACTTCTCTATTATTTCGCTTTCATAATTTTTTGTTATTTTTAAATATACTTATCTAATATGTTTGTTTGATTTTGGTAAAAATTTTATGTTTGCTAGTTGGGTGAAAAAATATTGACTGTTTTCCCTTAAAATAAATCGAGCTATTAGGAAATATTATCGTATTGAATATTTTTTTTGAGCAAAACTTTTACATACCCCTGGTTTACAATAATCTAGATGCATGAAAGCCCGTGCGATACTACTGCCATTATCATAGATCATATATGTCACAATCTATGGTCTCAAACAAGCTCCACAGGCTTGGTATCATGAGTTGCTTACTAATCAACTGTCATTCGGGTTCAAATATTCCATAGCCGATCCGTCATTGTTTATATATAATTAAACAACATGGTATTCTCTTCTACCTTCTTGTTTACGTTGACGATATCATCATCATTGGTCCATCTCCTAATTCTCTTCAGGAATATTTCTTAGTCAAAAGAAGAATATAGGAGACTTGTTGGGTCGTGCAAATATGTCAAATGCTAAAAGTGTACCAACTCCAATGACATCGCATCCTCCACTCACTCTTGATGCAAGCTCTCCACTTCCAAATCCCATTGAGTATACGATCAACTTGCTGATGCTCTTATCAAACCGCTCCCACGTACACGATTCCACAATCTCTTATCCAAGATTGGTCTTTCCATAAGGTCGTCCATCTTGAGGGGGGAGGAAGTGGAAATAGAGGAATGTTATGTATTTATAACTACATAACATTGTTTAAAATATTGTAAAAAATACATGGTAGAGAGAGAAAAGAGGAGAGAGATAGGAAGAGAGAGGTCTATAGGTAGACCCCACCTATTTTTTGGTCGGACTGTATCACGTGATGGAGGACCACATGCTGATTGTTCAACTGAAAGTTTATTGGTAACTCAGTGATACTATTTATATATAAATTTAGTACAACTGAATGCATATATAATACCATTATGTGCATATATAGGATCACTGTATATTCAGTGGTACCATTTGAACATCCAATAATACCGGAAT